GAATAAAAATTAAAAAATATATATCTATATAAAACAACACTAATTTTTTTTTATCTTTTCTAAGTTATTTTTAAGTTATTGTTTTAAGTATTATTATGTTATGTAAGTTAAGTTTTAGTATCATTTCTCTTCTCCCTGTCTTCCGCTACCAGTTTACACCTCCACCGTCGTCTATCTCAAAGGTAAAGTGCAAATAAAACTACATTTTTTATCAATTACTATTCTATCATGGTTATTTATACATTTACAACTATAAAACGCATTTTTCAGTGTTTTCCTTACTATAGTTATTTTTTTAATCTACTACTTAGCTTTAATTTGAGTGTGTTTTTAGTGTTGGAACGAATTATTTGGTTTTACATATAATCATATAGGGAAAAATAATTCACCTTACGACATTTTCATGATACGATTTCAGTTTCGAAACGGATTAATTTCGTATCCTGAGGTACCACTGTAGGTCATTTTCCACACCTAAAACAAATTTTTCGTTTCTAGTTGAAGTTTGTTTTTATATTTACGGTCATTTATAATGTCCACGACAAATGTCTCGTGAAATACGCGTCTAATTAAAAAATTGATCAGAATAAAAGTTATTTATTTTTGAGAGCCCTTTTCAATTCCATAAAAATTAATCCACTCCTGTCCTTGTATATTTCTTGATTCTGTTTTATTTCGAGAGATGCCCGCCAGATGACCAGAATCGATAAAACCATTGAACCCACGACCCACTGGTCATGGGTTCGCACCTCACCAAAAGGCTAGTCACATGGAGTTTTCTTCGCGTGTCTAATATTCGGCAACATGAGAAAGAACTGTCGCAAATGCAACCACTCCAACGAAACTCTGGCCCACGTTCTGTGCCGCTGCCCCAGCAACATGGCCGCTATCACCAGACGCCATAATAACATCCTCCAGCGCCTAGTTGCTGCAACTGATAAAAAGACGCCCGAGTTTACATCAACCAGAAAGTCCCAGAGTTCCCCCAGAATTGTCGCCCAGACTTCACAATAATAAGCGAAGAGACAAAGTCAGCTCCCATCATCGACGTGGCGACCCCTTTTGAAAACGGAGAAGACGTATTTTCCAAAGCTAGAGACGAAAAGGTTAACAAATATCGCGATCTAGCCAACTTCTTTCGTTCCAGGGGCTACGACACCTTCATCGTCGNTTTTACATGTAATCGTATGGGGAAAAAATGATTCACCTTACGACATTTTCATGATACGATTTAAGTTTCGGAACGGATTAATTTCGTATCCTGAGGTACCACTGTAGCAGTTTATAAGGGTTTAGTTTACAGAAGCCCTCTGGCGAGTTTCGAACGATTCCCTACACAAAAATAAACGACAGGGAAGAGACTTCGGCGTGTACGAAATTGGAAATTTAGTAAAAAAAAAAAAAAAACTTCGGCGAGATCGCAATCGCCAGTATCGCGCCGATTTACATATTTTTTTCTTCACCAATTCCTTCTAATTGACAGAGACATTTCTTTATTCATGTTTTTTTTGTGTCTCGTAAATCACAAACAGAATCAATTCCATTAACCTTCATCTTAATATCGGCGATTACGATAATTCATAATGTGCACCTCGATCTGTACCAACAAATAACGTAAGGGGCCTTTAGGCGCATAATCACGTGCTAAATCCATTCGTCGACCTTTCGAATTTTCCGTTCGACCTCCTTTCGATCGACCAATCGCCATCCCGTCCGATCGTCGATATAAGTAAAGGATCGCCGCCATCCGGAAGAAAGGATCGGAGCCTGAGGTCATGAACTTTCGGATCGCCATCTTCTTTCTTCTGTATCGCTCGTGCCCGGGAAGCAGGGATCGCAGACAGAGTAAGTGCAGGGAACCGATCGGACCCGACGTGGCCTCCCGTGCTAATTCTTCCTCCTTTATTACAGTAGTGTTCGTCGACAGAGGCGAATGTTTGACTCTCGATGGGCTGAGCGGCCGGCGTTCCTCTCTCTCCGAGTGTCCCCGGTCGAGCGGTTGGAGAAATTTGGAATTTCTCAGACGATCCACGTACGGATTCGAGGGAATTTTACCACGGCTGTGTTGTTCCCGCCAGATAGAGTTTGAGGGTGAGTGACGTTAATCGGCGCCAACGTGGGTAGCCCAAAAATCTTTTCGAACATGCGCGAAGAATGTGGGAGAGATTCATGTAAATTGCGTAACGAAGATACGAGTGAGTAGGTATGCAAATAATCGCTACGATGCGAACAAGTGCTTCGTAGAGATCTTCTTTGAACAGTACATACACAGTATGTACCCATGTAATTAATAGAATAAATGTAGAATGCAGCATTCGGTGTGTCGATCGAGGATGCGCGTTACGTAATTCTGGGATTGGTACAGTATGTGCGATAGCGTTACGTAGCGTAATGCTCGATGGAGGTAGTCGAAAAGTATAAAAATAGCATAATTTACGGACGATCGTTAACCGTCTTAATAGGTGTGGCTTAGAAAGGTCAAGGAACTATGTAAATAAAATGTATGACCAACGACGAGATGAACTTTTTTTCGCCCTCCAACGGTATTCTCGTCGTAGGAGGGCGAAGAAAAGACCATCTGGAAATATTTAAATTAAAAATTTCCCGATGTCCTATCCCAATTTCTGTCACCACCCCTTCATAACCTAATGTGACGTGATATTTTTATTATGCTTCCGTTTGTAATGTCCGATCTCCTTTTAACTATTCGAATTTCTTCGTTTCTGAGATTTGTGTTTCCAATTTCTGAATTAGTGTTTCCCGAATGACGTTTTGATTAAAAGGTCTGAAGAAAATATTACGAACAATTCTTATTGGTTTGCGGATATTTTTACCTTTTGTGCAGTTAAAGGTATGTCTGAATAGAAATACACTCATGTGGAAAAGATAAGCAACATATTGAAAAATTAGCATACTTGGCGAGCGAAAGAATGTGTAGCCAGCCGAAAAGTCTGCATGCGTGACAGGCATACGCATGCGAAAACTTTCTCAGAAAATATTTTGCATATGAACATTTTTAGCAAGGAAACGTGTGACTGGTATAAAAAACCGGTCTGTTGTGTGCAGATCCGCTTCTTGAATCCATTTTATGGATTCCAGAAGGAAAGTGGAGATAGCCAAATTTTAAACAAAATAAGTAAATGATATCATGTGAGTGCCGGCTGGCAATGGCTTCTCGAGGCAATATGGCTTCTCGAAGGGGACCAACATAAGTCGGAAGTAGCCCGAGTTCTAAATGTTAACTTAATTAATCATTCCGTTATTTTCCGCCTGTGGAACCGATAGAACCGATATCAAAGCGAAGAAACCGTCGCAAAGATCTGTAAGTAGTACGATTCGATTGGATTTAAGGCAGGAGGATTTCGATGAAATGGCCTACGGTGAAGGTTCGGGAGAAAGAGTTGCCCCTCCAGAAATTTGCTTTCTTCTTTAATTTGAAATGAAAGACTTCTCCCAATTGATGTTTATCTAATTTAAATAACTTGTAGGACGAAGAGATACAGAAAATCCAATGTAATTCCTTTTCTTTTCAGTTTTCTGTCTCATGACGAAATCTGAAAATGATACCTTCGGTATTCGGAATTTGAGTTGGGTGCGTGGCCATGGCTGATGAGTTATGTTAATAATGCTACTTGAAAGTATTGTCCAAAATTTTTTTAAATTCTATTAAATTTTTCTATCGCTAATTGCTAAAAATATCAGCAACGAGTTGCGTAAGTTTCCCGGCGAAAATCACAGATTTTGTTTAGAAAACTTATGGTTAAAGTGCACTTAGGGGAGTCCAAGCGATCTTCGTCTCTGAACATGAGGTTTTCGGTCGTGTGTTCGAGCCTCGCTCGGGCAAGCTGGCCACGTGGAGTTTTCCGGCTTTTCTCCACGTCTGTAACTCCTGAACAGGGGCCAGTTACCTTTAAGGCATTATTTCCCCGCGCGAGTATGGCCATTCCATCTATAAGGCCGGCTAATGGCTAATCGGACGCATGCGTCCATATTCTCGTTCTCTCGGAGTACATAGCCTATATGAGCTGCAACTCCATATTAATCATTCGACAAAGACACACCCACAGTGCACTTAGGTAGCCCCTATGGCGGCACTTCCGGAATATCAACAACACGTGTGCTTTGATAGTTAATCTAAGTGTTGCTGTCTTTAGTTTACTAGATATTTAACGTCATTTGGTTTCTAGATTAATTTCCTGACATTTTATAACCTTTTTAAAGAATAGTTTAATTTAATTATTGACTTTCTAAGAATTGTATCTTGTTATGTAAATCATGTTTTTTCGATGTTTATACTGTATTTGATATTTTCTGTTTTTATTGTTGTAATGGCGGATTTAGGAAAAGATCGACAGATTTCTTGGAAAATTTCTTTGGGAACTATTTTTTCGTTTATTTGGCATCTAATTTGCATAGAATGTACTGTACGTTGAGCGTCAGCTGTTTGGCTGTGGGCGCGAGTAGTCGAACAGCTGTTGACTGGGCGAATTTATACGGCACATTATGATTGTTTCATAGTTTAATTTTACCAAAATGAAAATTGGTGGACCTGTGTCGTCTAAATCGACGAGACTGTTGTAAACAAAAGGAAAAACAAGGAGAACGTTTTGACCTGTTCATTCAGCATACGAGTAAGGTTTATCCAGGACCGGGACGTGTTTCATTAACTTATGGAAAGAGCCAGAAATTGCATTTTCGGCCCTGAAAGTAAGTAACAATAAATCCGAAAATCGTAATAGGAAGAATCTAGACGTGTGTATTAAGAATGCGGAAGAAGTTTCCACCATGGAAAAGGATGAAGTTACGAAAGAATCATCCGAAACATGTTTTTTACCGAAGAAATTGGAGAAAAGGAATTAGAAATATGTCAACGGTGAGTTAAAGATTGTTTTCTTTAAATGCCTGAGTAGTTAGTAGCTGCGTAGATCTCCATCTTGTTTGTGAACGCGACATCGACAAACAAGATGGCGATCGGAAGTGCCGCCTTAGGGACTACATAAGAGCACTTTTACCGTAAATGCCAATAAAGAGTAAAATTTTCATTAAGTTTAAACCCACTCGAGACATGACATATTGACTCACCCTCTATCTCCCTACCCCTCGACTTTTAACAACCAAAATTTAATAGCATCAATGCCAAATTTCGTTTCTTAATCAGGTTAAAGTCCAGACGCGTATACCGTCATGTCGGCTCATCTCTGATTCCAGCAAACAAAAGAAACAGTGGGGACGCACGTTCTAACCTAACCTAACCTATTCTAATAAAATACCATAATTATTACCAACCAAAGTATTAGAATAGGTTAGGTTAGGTTAGAACGTGCGTCCCCGCTGTTTGCTGGAATCAGAGATGAGCCGACATGACGGTATACGTATCTGGACTTTAACCCTTAATCATTACCCCATTTTGAAATAGTACTCGAAATAGATGTCAACACAAATATACAAATACGCATTTAATGGAATTTTCCATATTTTAAAAAATGTTTTGGATTGAAGTCTCAAATCTTGACGTTTCCCGGAGCGCCAAATTTGACACGATTCCAATACTGTTTCCGTGTTATAAACAAACTGGGAAAGTAAAATTGATAGTCCTTCTCAGAATAAGAATGAAGTTGATATTCATCTACATATAGCCTATAAATGAGGATGTATTTATATATTATATTTGTTAACATATTCACTAATTACTGCGATGTGTAGCATATAGGACTTGTCTGCGTGGAATCAAAAGTTTTACCCTGTGAAAAGTCTAAGTATTTAATTTTCCACATATAACTCGAGTTTTTCATTTCTGAACGGTACTTTCTTAATTCGGTTAACTTTTTACCTACGTGCACCGTCATGGCCGCGGTCGCGGCTGTTCGTGCTCCCGACTGACTTTTCCCAGAGGGGATCCGCCGGAAGGACGCCGAGTGTATAACGTCACTAGTTATTGATAAGTGTTCAAGAATTACCGTGAATTAATAACTAGTGACGTTATACACTCGACGGCCTTCCAGCGGCTCCCCTCCGGGAGGAGTCAGTCAGGAGGACGAATAGTCGCGACTGCTGCCACGACTGTGCACGTAGGTAAAATTTGACCCTTAATTCCAATAAGTGCCCATCGGGCTGGTCACGTGCAGTTTTCCGGGTTTTCTTCACGTTGGAACATCTAAATAGGAACAAGTTTCCCATAAGGAGAAAGTCCTTCCGGGAGGCATCTTCCTTCGGCTGATCGCCACGTGGTGCGTTGCCGTAACCAAATAAACCAAGCCAAATACACTCGCAAAACTGTCCTCTCTGGTTTGGATCGTCATTACTGAGAGCATAGGCTCTTCTTGGAATGTAACTCTTCAAATGCCAATGCTTTAAAATGCCACGGACACCATTTTGAAATTCCTATCTCACAACCCCCTTGGCGCACAATTTTCTTGAACTCTGGAGATACGTTTCCATTAACCTTTCTTGCTTTGTCGCGTTCCTCGAAGATATCCATGGTGTTCCAGAGTGTTTCTTGCGGACATTCTGAACAATTCCATCTGCTTCAAACTTATCTCGAATTCAAGTGATGGTAAGTCACCTAAGTAGATCTATTTGAAACTCACTGCTAAACTGTGTTTGCACTTCAACTGCATTTCCAAACTATTTAAATGATTTGTAAAATAATTGCGTTATTTCACTAATTCAATAACAAATTGTAATTACAATTTTTAACATGTTTTTAATTATAATATTATTTAAACATTTAAAATTGATTTCATGAAAGGAAAGACTTATTATAAGGGTGATGTAAAATAATTTAGTAGATATATGATCTGTTAGCAGTAGATAAATTTGCAAAAGTTACAAAAATAAAAATTACAATTGGTTTTACTTGGATATCTTAATAAATAGTTGTACCAATAATGATATTTAGATTCTCGTAAAGCTTTCTCATTTATTAATATTGAATATGAAATTGATGATTCTAATAATAAGATCAGTGGTATATTTTCTCTTAGTCCTACTAGTCCTGGTGGGATTCCGACATATCTGTCTCATAGACGTAACTTTGTACCTTTTGCCACTTCGCCACGCTCGAACCATTGCCCAACCTTTCTCAAATTTTCTTCAGCAGCATCATATACAGAATAAGAAATAGGATAATTTACTTTGATACCCGAACCGTATTTTAAACCCCCAGCCGTTTACTCAAACTAACAAGTAAGTTGGAAAAATAAAATCCTCTTTCAATTAATATATTGAAACAATAATAATGAAAAAATTTATAAATTGCTTCTACATAAAGTTATCAAGGAATTATTACAGACTGAAAGCGTAAGTAAGAACAAAATAAGATATAACACTTGAGTAATATTAGGCCTTATATATGAATATATTTTCCCCGAAAAGAGTGGTAGTAATAATGACAGGGTTTTCAATATCAGTATACTTTATCCTTTCGATATTCAAAATTCTGTAAAAATACAATTACTGAAGAATTAAAATTATAAAATAGAATCATTCGGTGCAAAAGTAGCACTGTTAATTTGAAAGCGCCTGCATATTGTGAACCTAGGGTGCTATATTTCCTAATGCGCCATTGAATAAAACCGCGCTTTTTGTCCTCCGAGCAATAAATTTTGAATTATTTTGCTATTCGAAGATATAATTTTTTTAAAGTTGAAATTAACTATTATTCTTATTGAACTGCAATCTGAAAAATTGTAGACCTATAAATTCCCACTGTCATCCGTCTGTCTTTCCTTAATCTCGAGAACAGAGTTAGTTAGATGAAAAACAAGACAAAATATGGAAAGATTATGGGTAGGACGTCTAATGCAAACTGGAAGTCATGCTATATCAATTCAAAACTTTTTCCCTAAGAGGCATTAGATGACCGGCACGACTGTATTGCTAACAGGAAAAGTGTGATGTACAGGGGCAAGACACTACTAATTTGAGGTGAAGAGCATATATTTCAAATTAAACAAATTTTAAAAAATATGATAAAAATTGCAGCCCGACATTCTAACCTTGTTACAATAAATAATTGCTCGTCACTTGAAAATTATCAGTTGTAAATTATATCTACGCGTATCATATCGTATAGCGTAACATTACGTTCCAAACCAAGGAGGCCAAAACGGGCATTAAAACGTTGAGAGATTCTATAAAAAAAAAAAAATAAGAATTCGGGAGGCTTCTGTTTTGTATAGATATTGTATGTGTGGGCACGATTTTGTTTACCTTGTGTCTTTTGTCGAAAATTTCAGAAATTTTGCAGGTTGTTTGGGTATTAGTGGGATTGATGCTATTATATTTTAGTGGTTTAAAGTCGAGGGGATGAAGAGATAGAAGGGTCACGTTTATCTCGAGTGGGGTCGGACTTACGAAGATTTTACACGTTATTCGCACTTACAATTTTTATGAAACCCATCTCTATCCTCGAAATTAATCTTTTTGCCATTTTATAATTTTTAACATTTTTACCTGGAAATTTAAGCAATTCGTTGTTGCATTTTTTCCCCAATAAAGTATTGGCAAAAGATAAGTCTGTCGACACCAAGACCCCCCCAAATATTTGTATTCATTTATTCTTTCTAATTTATTTTCTGGCAAATGAAAATTTGGGGATTTTTTTTTTCATATTTTTTGTTGGNTGGAGCAAAAGTAATCATCACATACTACTCTACTACAATCTTAACTTACCTGCATCTACTTAATGATGATAATGATAACAACAATAATAAAAATAAGAAAATAAATTAATGTAATGTATAAGTTTTAAAACTACGAAAATAATTCGTATAAACGTACTTACACTCCATTGAAAATCGTCCAAAATATACTGAATTCTCCATTGGTTGAGTTGGCTAGACGAAGCCATCAAGCAGAACGTGGTAAAGAAGCGTGACGTAATATCATCCATCATGGCCTCATGTTTCGAAAGTTACGTCGCCATCATCTTTCGAAACTAGTGATTATTGTGAATAGAAAAGCTCTTCTGCTTTTATAATATTATAATTTTTAAGTGTTTATATAAAAATAAACTCATAATTTTATTAATAATTCATTAATTTCTTAAGTTTACTACGAGAGGATCACTCAGTATTCGCATCCTCATCACTAATGATCATAAGAGGCAAACTAATGTGCTAGGCATGTATTATGTTATTTTTTAAAATTTTTTCTGGTATATTAATAGTAAAAATAAAACAAAATTCAACGTTAACACCCAGAATAGCGTATTCTATCTAAAGTTACAAGGTAAAATTTGTAGCTATAGATACCACACTTTAATTACAAGATTAAAAATGACTTATGAGTTTAGGCGGCATACCTCATTCATATATAAGATTAATTGGATAATTTGCAATTGGATAAACCCTCCAATTTTCTTATAAAAAAAAAAAAAAGAAAGGAAGGGAAATATGTGATAAGGGGCCTCTTTCATCGTAACAAACGACGCCATTTTGGTTTATAGGTATTTCCCAAAGGGGAAGCAGCAGTATTCGCCACACCTAAGATCCCCCACGGAAGATACTCGCACCAACGATTTGGATAAGCATTTCCACGCAATCTTCCCATCACTCGTCGTTTGAACATTAACGATGTGTCGGAATTGTCACTTCAGTGTACCACTTGGCGTGACAATCACTTCCATTTGCATAACAACGTAACGCGTGCAGCTACACGTTGTAACAGAACTCCGTCACGCAAACCGTACTTTCGACTTTAGTATTCAACTCAGCGATGATTGAGAAATATGTTACGTTCGATGTTTTGTATGTTTTTAACTTCATTTTTTCTCAGGTAATTAAACTAAACGTGAACTCTCTATGTGCCACACGTTCTATTCAAATTACCGACCACTTCTTACTAAAACTCTATAAAAAATTATAAAAATTAAAGGAATTTAAAGTGTTTAGAGAAGCTCTTTTTTATTGGTAGAATACTTTTTAAAAAAAAATAGCCCTTGATTGATGTAAAATTACTTTAAAGTATAGGAAAAAACACCGCGCAGACAATAGAAGAGTAGAAGAGAACTGGAAAAAGGATTAAAGGAAACAAGGAAAAACAAATTATTAAAAAAAATTCAGTTATTATAACCGGTAAAAACTTTAATTAAAATTTCAGATAACAGATGGAAGCACGTACACCTCGTCTACCTTTAAGCCACGTGACAGGGTGACAACATCATCATTGGTGGAAACCTCTTCATCTTTTATGAAACCTTTTCTGGCGTATACTTAGGAGCGATGCGAAGTTATGTCGAAGTGGAGTGGATAGCGTGAGGTTAAATCATTTTCTTTATCACTGGATAGAGTGAACTAGTTTGTTCGGGATCCCATGGCCTTACACGAAACGAGATGATTTAAATATAGAAATTGTGTTTATATACCTTATCATGGCTTACAGAAGGGCGGCTGATAATAGCAATGGACAAACAGGAATAACAGATGATAATCCTCATCACATGGTGTACCGAAAAGTAAGTTACTCCTCTCTTCCCTCTCGAATATGCAAGCTTAAATTGTTATCTTTTATATACGTTAATTTATAAGTAAGGATTTAATACATTTATTTCTAATTTTAAATTATATATATATATTTTAAAAAAATCCTTTCTTTCCTACTAATTTATTATTCTCGTAAATCATCTTATTTGCATAACAATCAATATTGTATAAGAGAGAGAGAGGAAAAAAATTGCATTGAAGCATAAAGATAAAGCGATTATTATTTATTGTAAAATATAAATTTTCGATTTAAAAATATAATTCTAATTTTTATGTTAATTTAAATCTAAAAAAAATTTTTTTTGGAGTTTCCCCTGTAAAGCTTTCTTTCTTTCATAGTATTACAGGTTTGAGGTGAAGATTACTTTAAAAACTTACGGTTTTTTCGACACTGTACGAAAATAAAACGTGTGAAGTGGATAAAATCCGATGAATTTAAGTTACACGATATTTTTATATAGCAAATAAACATTAGTGTGTTTACACGATTTAAAAATCTTTAGTTAAATGTTATCTCGGAAGAACGTTGTTAAGTATCGATTTGGAATCCGTAGCTTCTGTTGTGTATTTCTATATCTCTTCTCGTCATTTTAATACTTTAATAAATTATACGACTGTTTAATGATAGAATAGTAATACTGAAATCATTATAAATGCTTAATTTCAATCATTACCAGTTTAAATTACATCGATTCAAATTGTTTTCTAGTTATGTATACAATATCTTTTCAATGCACGCTTAGGAAGTAAAGTTATTTTATGAATTTTAACTATATTTAATGAAATTATTTACAATGTTTACTTTAAGTTTTGAAGCGGGAAATGACTGACGAATAAATCTACTTTGAAATATTAATTCTCTTACATTTATTGGTAAAGCACCGAGACTATTACGTCGCGTGTATTTGACAACTGTTCCTTTGAACTGAGCTTAGGGGAAACGTCGAGAAGTATTGTAAAAACTTGTCAACCCGACTAACACCTTATTGGATTTCGCATTGATTTGACTGACAACAGATACGATATCTCGGAAACACCTTTATCATCGTGACAAAAATATTCTCCAAGTTCCTTGTAAGCGAACTTAAAATATTTATTCTAGACGCGAAGCACGTTTAAGTCTTCCAAGTAATCGTATAAACTATTCCCTTTTATTCTTCTCTAAAATAAAAATGTATAAGTTACAAAACTTTAAAGAGATTTCATGTTATAATTCTCGTTTATATCGTCCATCCTCTTTGATGTTACAAAATAAAATTTGCAATATAACAGCTTAAGAGGTTAGAAAATACGAAAATTAAATATAACTTGAAATAAATTCTTAAATTTCCTTGTAAATATGAGTTTATATCCATTTATTATAAATAAATATACACCTAAATTATGTATAAATTATTACGTGTATTTACTTTAAGTTAAAAATTAAAAGAATGTTTGTTTATTAATCGTTTTTCTTTTTAAATCGTAAAATATTGTATCTAGAATTAAGAAAATTCGTTTTAATACTAAAAAAAACAATCAGTTCAAATATTCCTTATAGAATTGTAAAGAAAAAAATATGTTTTTTTAATCAAAAATTTAATCTTAGATATTGGCTTCTGTTTAAGTTTAGATCAGTTAAATCAATTGAAAAAAGACGGGATTTAAAACTAATGAATTAGTAATTTTATATCTGACTTGTGAGTCAAGTTACTTCTCCNCGTACCCTAACTCTGTACAATGATGAATGTATTTTTCATTTAGGACAAGTAATTTTATATACATTATTTAGATGAACATCTGTATTATTTTGGAGATGATTATAAAATACTAGATAAGATGCCTTCGGTCTTATTTAAAGAATTAATATACAGGAACGGATTTAATAGTGATAAACTATTGAAAATGTAGGTTTCGGTTCACGTGTGGACATGCTCAATCGTTAATTTTCCGATTACGGAAAGCAAAGAATACAAATTTACACTGCAAAAGTCTTCGGCTCGTTACTTTCAGCGTCGTATTTATTTTTATAGGAATAAGAAGAACCTTTTTCCTGTTTACCATAGAAATAGAGTAAAGGAATCAACCATCGGTTTTTTAAAGTCGAAAATACTGATAATTAGATGATTCCCTTAACCTTAAAAAAACAGTTTGAACATAATATCCGTGCTTTTCGATGAAAATATTTTAAAAATATTTTCATCCCTATAAGTTTTAGCATTGTGTAAATATCCCTTATATCTCTCTTGACAAAGTTGCGCAGAGATTAAGAATGTGTATATTTAGTGTACAGTACCAAAGCCTCGCGGCCGGATGGCCGAGCGGTCAAGGTGGCAGCCCACCGCTCTGGGGGACCCGGGCTCGAATGCGAACGGGTCGAAAATTCTCCACGAATTTTTCGGGGATGGTCCGTTCGGATATGTCGGGCCTTGTTTCTTATTACTCGGCAGTATCATTGTGGGCGTAGCCGAACTTGTAATGGGCTTGCAAAAGGAAGCTCTCTTAGTGCCCACAGGGCGGAAAGAGTTAAAAAAAAGTACCAGAGCTNTTATGTAGGAAAATCTTTCTTGAGAAAAGGAAATTATTATTTTTTCTTCTCCTTCTTCTTCTTTTTCTTTCTAAATATAGAATATCAAGCTTTTTCTCAGACTTAAATTAAGACATAATATACAACTTAGACACTTAAATTACTTATATTATATACTTTACATCCCCCGTATAAAGTAGGTACACAGTTGTTGTTATAGAAAAATCATTTATTTTTATGTATATATATAAAGTAATATAAGCATACATAATTAAACTTACGGCTGAATCTTTCAAAGATTATCACTTTTAATATGCTTAAAAGATTTTATTAAGCTTTATATTATTTTAAACGCATAATATATTTAAAGTTTACCGAGTTTGATCGTATTAAAAGATTAAAGTTTTAATTGTAAATGTATTAAAAAAGAAATAATTCAAAATTTAATGGCTTGGAGTGTAATTAAAGACATAAATAAAGAAGAAACATTCAATTGTTCGTCTTATAATTATATTCAAATTTTGTAACTATTGTTATATAAAGTTCGATATCAAATTAGTTTGTTAATTTAATAATATAACTTTAACCTAATCCATCCACTTATCCTAAATACAGTGACAATTTAATAAAACAAATGCACTTCACTCATTAAGGTTACATTCATCAAAATAATTAAGCTCATCTAACGATGAAGGATTTACTGAAAGAATTTTCTAAAAAAAAGAAAAAACAAAAAAATTAATATGTGTAATTATTTTTAAAGTGGGAGTAATTAAATTGGAGAAAGAATAAATTTATATGCTTTGCTGAACTTTCTATTGTTTCTTATGCATTTAGATTAATGTTAAAGGTTATGAGAAATTCTCAAAATGTACGTGAAATGAATGATGAAAATGCTGGAAATTTTCAACTTTGTTTTCGTTATTTTTTATTATTTTTTGATTTATTTTAATATTTAATTATAATATATTTACGGGGAAAAATCCATATTACTTACCGCTATGTCGTCACAATGCCGGGATGCAATTTTTAATTATACTTTTTTAATTTAAATAAAAATTTTGAATTGAAGTCACGTGAATTCCGGTTTAGATGGTTCCTGTACAGTTAGTCGGAATCTTCTCCCCTAAGCTTTTTAGTTCTCGATATTAACGAAGGACAGACGGACAGACAGCCAGACAAACAGTATAGGTCTGCAATTTGAAAATTGTAGCCCGATAAGATACCTCGAAATTTATAAATTCTTCAAGCGTATTTACTATTTTTAATGCTAAACTATGCTTTTTTTCCTATTTTAAACTTGACTTTATTAAATATTATCGAATTTATTTGAGAAATTTGGAAAAACGCATCACCGTGTCTCGTCAAAATCGATGATATTATAGTATAAATATTGATAGTAAGTTCAATATTATTGGAGAATGTCGTAGTTTCCAGTCGTCTTAAGACTTTTTGATTTACATTTCACTCGTTAAGTACATCATCCTTATCAAGGATAAGGCAGAAGAGTTTGTTAAACTCACCGTATCTGTAGGTTATATTATATTATTATTACACGTTCGTAATCATACCAGATAGAATTATATGACATTCTCCAAAGTAAATATTTACTATTTGGCAATGAATCAATCCACAAGTTAATGTTTTGGCATGGTTAAAAGAATGTTTCCATCATTGAGCAAATAACTTTTGTGCCGTCTCCCAAAATAACTACAGGTTATGAATGATGGGAAATTTATCATTAACGATTCTCGACACCACTAGCCAACTTGTCACCAACCCGATTCCTTATCAAAACACATTCTACTCATACACGACAATCTTTTTAACACGTAGCAGACAGACAGACTGACAGAAAAAAAAAGAGTAGAATCTACACGAAAAGTACAATTAAAAATTCAATTTTTTAATGAGAAAATTATGTCTTTAGAGAGGAAAAAAGATTGATAGAAATTTATTACATCGTTCTTCTTTAGGGGTGTTCGTAAATGACGTCTACACTGGGAGGGGGAGTTCAGTAGACGATCATCTTGGGCATTTTATTATATTTATTACAAAATTCTTGCGTGTTTCGGTTCTAAATGGGATGTATCATTCATAAAGCGATAAAGGTTTTAAGGGGGGGCTTGGGTTGTTTTTTTGTTAGATGTTCGAAGAGGGGCTTAGGGAAACTTGGACGAACTGGGGGAGGGGAGAGTAAAAATGCAGATGTAATTTATGAACAGCCCCTTATAAATTACCGTTATGTACTTTTAATCAACTTAACACGTTATTTTAATAGCAAATTTTATGTATTATTAAAGTAAACGAGGTAAATCGAGGTAAGTTTCATTACTCAATTTTGCATCGAATGACTAAAAATAACGCCAAATTTCATACTAATCTCGAGTAAGAACGGGAGATAATTTTACTCCAAAAAATCATTATCATAATAAGAGTGTTTTTTTTTAATAGTAATTACTATAATAATAAACGAGTTGCAATATAATATTAAAATTTCCACTCACGAAAATTCTATAATAATCCTCATTACATATTTATTATCCTATTAAAACATTATATTAATATTAAATTATACGATTTTATCGAGTAGTTTATTAAGCTTTAAAGTAAAATCATTTATCCTTTTTAATAAAATTTTAATACTTAAATTTTTACTTAAAATTTTACTATAAAACACTCTTTCGTCCTCGTTAAATTCTATTTATTTTTATAATTATGTGAGGGATTTATCTGTATACTCCATTCGAAAATTAAAGATTGTCCACTAAAATAATACATTAGGTCCATTAACGTTAGTCCACGTGGTGCTGACCTATTTGATCTTTCTAATATAATATTTACATGCATTTAGGTTACATGATAATGTGAAAGTTTAATCAAGGTAAGGTATATTGTGGCATGTTTATACAGGAATGTTTAATAGTCCCACAGAATAACAGATTTTTATTTGATCCGCTTTTATCAGGACTCTCTTAAGCCCTTATATCTACACATACATCACCTTAATTTAGCCCTGATAACATTCGGAATCACGAAATAAAATAATAACCAACACAAGATTGATACCGATGCTGATTTATCGATTTTTCATGAGAAAAATCTGTTCGTTTACCTGTTTTATACATTAATTTTGTTAAAGAACGAGCTCGAATTATGGAAAATTCAAGTTAAATTAGTAAAAAAAAGGGGGGGTGGAAGAAAAATAGGATTTTAAATGAATCATGTTCATTTTCCGACTTCAATGACGTCAGTCTGTTGCTAAGAGATTGCCATAAAAATTCGAAGAGTACTAAATGAATAGTTGTTATGGCCTGTACTTTCTAGTCACGTGAAGATACAGCAATACGTCCGGTGTATTAAATATTACTACTTGATAGTCACGCGCGTATAATATAAAAAATCTCCTCCAAACTTATCGTGGAATGTGTAGTTCTATATTTAGGACTNGGAAAACATGTAGATAATTTATCATCAAAGGTTTTAGATGATTATAATCTTTCATATTTAAAGGTATTTCAGATCTATTAATTATAATTTAAAATAAATTTATTGTAAAAGGGAGCAGAGACCAAATATACTATTTTATTTTAATGTTATTGAATTAAAGATTTGCATACTTTAAGTATTAGTTTCATAAGAAGCACTTTTTTGAACTTATAAGTACTGTACATATCTCTATCTATATACATTTATACTATACATATATATCTATAGTAAATAGATTAAAAGTTAAACATGGCCATAAGGCAAGAGTTAGTTATAATAATCAGTCTCCATTTGAGCCAATATAGTT